GGACAGTTGCTGGTTGTTGTTCTTTGCTATTGTCTTTAATGGCAGTTGAATAAAATGGTGACACATTAATAGTAAATTAGATAGTAATAAAGAATATTCAGTGGCAACAGAATATGCTAAAACCTAGTTAATCAGGCTAAGCCTTCACTTAACTTGCTTTCTATGCTAGGCCTTAATCTTGGACCGTGAGAAACAGAAGTCTGTCTGAATGTGTAGAGTGTTTTCCTTCCCCCTTGCTCCCCTCCACCTTCCCAGAGTAAGCAGCAACCCCTCTATCCCTGATTTCAGCAGCAAAGCATGGAGGTCATAGGTTGTGGCTCCTAGAAAAGACAGCTTGGCATGCTATCACTGTGGAGAAGTTCCAGAGAGTTCAGGATGTTGTATATGGAAGCTTATCCTTGTGGAGTCCCACAACAATCCCTGCTGAATAGGTTGGGCTGAGTGATAGTAGATGCCCTTCATTTACAAAACACACCTCAGTTCTAAATAGTTATTTGGGCTGTGAGCTTCCTGGTTCAAATCTAACCATTTCTTTATAGCTTGAACCAGTTCCTCCATCCAATCATTTGATTAGATTTCTGTGGCAGCAGTCAAGATACATTATCAGTATCCCTGATTATCATATATTTAATTATGTTTATATCCTTCTGTATGCTAATGTGTATGGATCATTGATCACAATAAAGAATGTTTGCATATAGCATTTGATTAGAAATGTTGTAAGGTTAGTAAAGCTATTTAATAGCTGGCCTTTTTATACTCTCCATATTGATATTCTTATTATTGTAAACCTTGACCATTTTATTATGCTAAGAAAGTTTGAACATACTTTAATGTAGCCAAAGCAAACCAAATTTAACATCTGTTTATTTTGATGGCATAGATAAAGTTCTGATTAATTTAACTCCTCCTGAGATGAACTGGACTGCCATACACACTAATCTAATATTTTAGAACGACAGTCAAGGAATCTTTTATTGTACCCAAATGGTCCATCCATGTGAGAAGATCAAAGATCCTCAATCATGCTGTTGGACTGTTTGTAGTCTTATCCCAGGGCCTCATTACTCCTGGTATTCCAAGTGTCAGATGAAGGTAGCCCAGCACAGCTGAAATAATGACATACCATCTCCATCAAATACAGAATATGTATAATGCAAACAGTTCTGAATAATTGTCTTTACTTGAGAAATAATAGGATCTGGACAAAGTCAGATGATATAAGCTGTGTGTGGCTTAACCAGGAAGCTGTGAGGCAATGATCCTATCCTACTAATTAAAATAAAATAAAATAATACAATTTGATGATTTACCCCAACTTCTGTCAAAGCAGAGTCAGCCTATATATTTATGGCTGTTGAATGAATTAAAAAAATGGAATTCATATTTTGTATTTAGACAGTGCTAGTCACAGCATTATATTATAAACACTAAATATTTATACTACTGTATTATTAAATATTCATACTTAGTTTTATTTGTATTAGGTAGCAGTTAGATAAATTGAAAATGTATAATGTATGCTCAAGATGCTTCAGATCAACAACTGGCTATTAAAACAGTAAGAATGGACTCAAAAGGTGGTGTGGTTTTAGTAAATGACACACAAATGTGAATGGTGTGTTGTGCATGTGTTTCCTGTGGGTAAAATATGTTTACCTTCAATGAACTATACTTTTCCAAAGTTCTGGCCACTAGAGACATATTCATAGCATGATTTTTAAACAATCCATTCTCATTGGCTTAGAGATTATCAGATATATATTCCATCAAGGATGAAACAAGGCACTTAAAGTATCAGTTTAAATTAAAAAAAGAAACCTTCATTAACACAGTTAAATATATTTTAGAAATCATTTATTTTAAATGCTATATTTGGCCAATAAATCTTTCATTACATTATACATGTTCATCTGTAAAGGCTAATTTAACTGATCACTATTAAGTTCCATTGTTTTCAAAACAATAGTGATGCATTTGTTTTTGCAGCTCATTAAGATCACTAGTGTTTCAACTCAAATTTGATTGTAACTCATTCCCATTGCATACTCTCACTGTCCAATCTTTTTGATCTGATCAGCATATTTTCCATTCTGGCATTCTGATCATATATATATATATATTAATGTGGAAGATAAAAGTCAAAGAATTTGTGCCTTTTCAGATCACTCTGTAAACCGTAATATCTCTAAATTCTAACTTACATTTGTGTTTATAAATATTATGGCTTCTATCTTAAACCATTTTAGCATGAAAGTCAATCCCATTGGAATCAATAAGATTTACTTCCCAGTAAAAACCAAGCAGCAGATTTACAGTTCCTTGAATCAAGACACACATATTCTGAATGCTCTAAATTGTGGTCTTTTATAGGATCAAATACACTGCTGTTACCTCTGCAAAGTATTCATCAGGACTTTTTTTTTTTTCCAGAGAGAATGAAGATCAGTTCTACTAAAAGCCTAAAACTGTGGAGGCATTTGGTAGGAAAATATTACTTCCACATTAGAAATGACTGCTGTCTATTTTAAGTAGCTCTTTACACTAGTTGCTAGTAGCTTCCTTAAACATCTAAACATTTATTTTTAGTCAGCAGAGAAGGGAAAGTTTATATTCAATGAGATTTACAAAAAGCAAATAGAAATCTGGCAAGTATATTATGAATTATGCATGCAATTTTATAAATATTCAGTGGAGGTGTCCTGATGACATTATAAATGACTAAATAAGTATCAACAACCCAATTATTCTGAATGCAGTAACAAGTACTGTATTTAGCGATAGATCCTAAATAAATCAACTGGAGTTACAGCTGAAGAATAAATGTTTAGGCTTGAAATGGCAAATGTCAACTATTCAGGTAATTATAACTGGACCCTATTAGCAATGATTTTAAAAAGTGCAATACACACACACACACTCACTCATTGTTTTATTTTTCAGTTGGCTGCACCCAATTACCAGTACAGTCCTATCAGACTCCTATCCTATAAACTCTTATACATGTGCCTTCCAAAGATGGACATATGTTAGAATTACTAGTGATAAGAAGAATCTTCTAACAAAGAAGCATTCAGGATATCTGAAGGGAGGGATGTTGTCTAATGTCGTATAGGGGATAATTGTAGTGGAAGAATGGACCGGTGTATTTAAAAACAGAAAAAGCGCAGACCCATGTTTTGCCTTTCCTTGGCAAAGTCGCTGCAACCTGAACGGCGACTCTCTCCAAAGCAAGCGGGGAGCTTCGCGACCTCTCTGGCCTACCTGCGCCAATGGGACTGGGGCGGTTGGGAAGAGACCTAGCCCAGGACTAACCCCGTCCTCCGCCCCTTTGCAATAGGCACTTTTTACGACGACAGGCGAAACAGAGAGATGAAACGGTGCATGTGGGTGGGGAGGGGGTCTGCTACGTGTCCGCCCCTCCTATCTCGAAAAGTACCCCGGGTGGCATATGGGGTGAAGGCGAGGAAGAGGCTTCTCCGACCTTCGGCCCCGCGGTCGCTGTCCTTGCCGGTCGTTTTCTGATGGCAACCCCCTCCTCTTTCTTGGGTCAAAACTCAGTGGGGAAGAAAGGAAGGAGGATGGCGGTTCTCGATGCTAAATACACCCCAGCAGCTCTTGTGACTTAGGAAGACGAGGAGGGGGTCATGGGGCAACCCCAGCGGCCTCCCCAACTTTTCTCGCGCCGATCTCTCTGCCTGGAGCGCACGGGAGCGCACGGGCTGCCGGCAACGGTTCTTGGCGGGGAGGCTGAAGTATCAAGCCGAACTCAGACCTTAGAAATTAGGGCCGATTTGATAGGTTGTTATCGACACTGGGCGGCGTTAACCCTATTACACTATTGGGTATGTCAATGCTTTTAATAAGCTCTGCCTTTTGTGTGTGCGCGTGCCGAGAGCGGACCAAGCACTCTTCCACCTTTTAATGCTTCCTCCCAGCACTGTAATTGATTCGAAAAAGTTTCCAACTACCAGATGTGGGGTGGAATGGGGACTATGTTGACAACGGGTCATTGGGGGGTTGTTTGGAAAGTAAGAAGCTCATCTTAAAGTTTATAATGGGAAGGATGAATGGGAAGACACCCCCCCGCCCGCGCTTCAAAACAGAGAGCGGGGCGGGTCTCGGATTCTCGCTGCTCCCGACGAGGATGACTTTTTCGAAGGGGCAGAGGGAAGGCGAGGACGCGCACGATTTGAGTTGCTTTGGAAGGTGCAGGAGCCGGAGGAGGACTGGGTGAAGCCCCCGGCGCTACTGCCCCTCATCAGCATAATGGTCACGTTAGCAGAGCAGGCAGAGTTCCATATATATAAACCACAAAAAGCGAATCACTAGAAATCCCAGCCTCCAACCTACGCTCCACCCGCACCCACTCTGGACCCACGTTCAGTCCCCAAACTGTCCCCTTCCCTGTCCTTTCAGTCTGCGGCTCTTTTGCTAGATCGCCCCCGCGGCTTTTCGAAGCGCTGGTGGAAGTCAAGAGTTGTTCGCCTTCCTCAAACAGTCACCCCTAGCAGCATACTTTAGAAACTTGCCCTGACAATCCGCCCCCTCCACAGAGAGAGAGAGAGACAGACAGACAGACAGACACGTTTTTCGTCCCACGCAGTTTGTTTCTCCAGTCGGAAGTTCGCCCTCTGACAGATTCTCGCGCTCAGGAGCCGCCTAAAGTTCCTGTCCTCCTTGTTATTATTTTGACTACTTTTCCTTTCCCAAACCCCACCCCGGAGAACTTGCTGCTTATGCGGAAGAAGAACTCAACCTCGCTCTGAGCGAAGGAAAGACTTTTGCTAAAGAGCTC